TCAACTATATAATTAGTCGATTTCTGTATCTACTCCTTAATTCACTGCTGCTACTACCTATTGTAGATCATGCATTAAACAAACACAAACGATGCTTGCTCGCGTGTGAGCGTTAAATGGAACGCAGCCTATGCCTATAATGCTGCGCAAAACGTTACTGCGCAACAGAGAAAAGTCTACTGCCAGTTGTAATGGAAGAAACATAGAAATCCACCATGCTGCCAGTGCTGAAAAAAACTACAGTTCACGTAACGATAACTATAGATTTTTAATACTAGCAGTAGTGGCAGTGTATATCGGAGTACGGCCTTCTTTGTTTACAAAAAGCTGTTAGCGCGAGAGATGTTGTGTGGTTGGTTCATCTTCGTTACTCCTACGCGTTTAGGTTGCTTCGAAGATTAATCCTAACCTATTTTAACATACAAAATTGAAGTAAATTGGAATTGAACATGTCACATTGCGATACCGATAATAACAGTGTGCACAACATGTTGGACGAGATTATTGACCTGGAAAATTGTAGAAAATTAGTCAAATCATATATCGATTTGGTGAGCATCGTAATTATAAAATAATATCGCCCTATCTGTCATCGCGTCTATTAAAAAAAAATTTGTATTTACTTCCAGCACCTATATAGTGCCGCCTTGTTTTGGGCTGACAAAGTTGTATCGCTGAGTAATGAGAACCCAAAAGATATATGCACTCTAGCGCAATGTATGTACCTTATGAAACAGTATCATCGTGCTGCACATCTTATAAAAAGATATGGATTACAGAAGGTAATTGTAATTTACCATTGATTTTATCTGGATACAATTTACACTCTATCTCGTTTTATAATACATTGAATATCATTGTATTTTATTCTACACAATTTATTAAATAATAATCTATTGATACAGCGTGATGTAATGTGCCATTACTTAACTGTGAGGTGTCTGTTAGAAGCGAAGGAATATAATGATGCACTTCAAGTTATTAATGAATCTGAAATATGCACAAACATAACGCAAGCAGGTATTACCTTTCCTGATCGCATGGACATTTTCCACGATGCTCCAAAAAATGTATGAATACTTTTTTATACCTATACATATATATGTATATATATATATATATATATGTGTGTGTG